CTATTCTACGGCCACGCGGCATTTATGTGTTCGTAAGTTCTCTGGCATTATACATAAAAAATATCTGTTGCATTGTGTTGCCCCTCCACTTCTCGTATTTAAAAAGCGGATAATAGCGTTGAACATGGACCCGCTCTCTTCTCGATCACCCTCTCCATTCTTTTCATTAACGTGCGATCATCTTTTGGCAAAACTTTCAAAACATAACTGTAAAAGATTCTTCTAATAAGCGTCTATATTCTTTGGTTTAAGATTTAAAAGTTAATGTAACTAGAAAAGCAAATGTCACTATAACTATTTTGGTAATTGTACCTTCAACTTCTATTTTAGCAATGTCTTAGTAAATATATAAAAATTGAGTGTACACTGTTCATTGTCTTCTATTTTTGAGATAAAGATCAATTAATGGACTCACTGTCGGGGCACATACACGGTTTTTAATATTTTGTAACCTATTTATCTTGTGGTCATTTTAAATTAATTACTATTTAAACTGGGAGGAATAAACGTATTTTTACCTTTAATTGTGGCTTATTCCCAGTTAACTAGTAATTATAATCAATTATATTGTTTTTCTATGGATTAAAATAGTTTTTTGACACCATTTGCCAAACACCAAGTACATAGCCCTCTAGTACGGTAAATTCGAATAGAGAGGTTTTAGCGCCCATGCGGCTTTCGTCGCGAGGGCCAAACCAACATAATTTTACTAGGTGCGAGTACATAGGACAGGTTGTCTGGTAACTTTTACAACCAACAGTGTCGAGAATCTAATGAGTATATGTAAATGACGTCACTCAGACGGCTACATTTCAAATTTCATTCCCCTGACTGGTTAAAATGAACCTTCGAATTGCAACATTGATTGTAAAAATATAATTAATCTATGTTAGCTTAAAGTAAAACGTAACTTACTTTCTGCACGTTTAATGGTTGTTCATTTACACTTCAATGATATAAAACAATGCTGGTAGATATCTGCAGAGATAAGAAATTGTTAAAAATATATTGCAACTAAAGTCATATGTATGAGAAATTAACACTACTACTTAATTAAATTAGAATGTGGGATTCTTTTCTTTCTACTATATCTGTGAAGCTTTGCTTATATACTATAGAAAGAATATTGGACGTGTTATATGATGCGGCAAATCTATATTACTTTGGATACTATATTAATTGTGGATTGACATATCAATTTCCTTTTTTTAAATTATTTTTTAATAAAATCTATATCCATGTCCATGAAAATCTTTCAATTACTGGAATCATTATTAACATTAAGAATAAATGACTTTTTGATAAAATGAAACTTTTAGGTAAATTATAAAGAGCTTATGTTATTAATTGAGTTTTAAACTATATAATTGTTTATTATAAATGATTCCATGCTGCTAACGGTCGAAGATATTAAAGTTAATAGTAACTAGAAAAGCAAATGGTACAAAACAGTACTATATATACTATTTTTATTGGTAAATTGTACCTTCATCTATTTTTAGCAATGTTGATTTAACTATATACAAAATTGATGTACACTGTCATTTGTCTCCTAAAATTTTTCTAAAGTTGAGACTAAAATCAATTCTGCATTACAAGTTGGGCACATAACGGTTTCTTAATATCTGCTACGCTATGTTTCTTGTGAGCATTTTAATTTAATTACTATTTAACTGGGAGAATCAACATATTTTTACCTTTTAATTGTGGTTTATTTCCAGTTAAATAGTAATTAAAATCAATTATATTCTTTTTACTATGGGATAACAATGTTTTTGACAGCATTTGCAAAACACCAGTACAGGTAACCCTCTAGTAAGTGTAAGTTCGATAGAAAGTTGTGGTAGAGTTTTTAGCGGCAAGTGCGGGACGGGCCAAAAACGAATTTTACAAGGTGGAGTACATAGGACAGGTTGCTCGTGGCTAACGCTTTACACCAACTCAGTGTCGAGAATCTGAATGAAAGTAGTGGATGAAGTCACTAAGACTGCCTACATTCAACATTCATTCTCCTGCCTGGTTAAAAATAACTAGAAAATGCACATTGATTGTAATAATTATCTTAACTCTATGTTATATTAAATAGAAAGTAACTTACTTTTGCACTTGTAATGGAGTATTTATTTCATTCAATTTGTACAAAATGTGGTTAGGATACCTACGAGGTTATAGAATTGTAATATATTTTTGCCAAACTAATATATGTGTACGTAGAATAACAACTACTACTATAATTAAATTAGAAGTGGATTCTTTCTCTTTGGACATATGTGATGCATGCTTATATACTATATTTAATATCTGGATTTTAATACAATTTACTTTTTTAATATGATTTTTGACTAGGTTTACATAATTTTGAATTGGAGAATAATAAACGTAGTGCAGTATTGTTAATTCCCTCCAACAATTTTAAAATCATGCTGACAAAAGAAATGTGAACTAAATCATATTATACTATTCAGAATTAGTAGGCTTTACCTTAAGTTCACATATTTATAGAAACATCTGATTGGCATTTACTGGATTTGAAAAAAAATATGCTTTTGCCTTTTCCTCGAAACTTTAGTTTTCGCTTTCCACTGTTAGTTGTCTCAAGTTCTCTAATCCGCATGATGATTTAAGATTGTTAATTAGTATCTTCTATTTTCTAGTAGTTTTTTGTTGAAAGTTTCACCGTTGCTCTATCTTTCCATGTTCCTTAATTCCTCTTTTGTCGTATATCATTCCGATTATTATTTCTGGCCAAATCAATATGTTGTGTCGGAGGATATTCACTTGTTATTATCATTTATCTACCCCTTTTTAGTATTCTGTAAAAATATATATGCTTCGACATCTTTGTTTTCTTTCTGCCATGCGTTTTGATATTCCATATTTTATTTCTTTTACGTCGTCTGTCTTCAATTGGCAGTTTAAAATGCCGATGGAAATTTGGTTAAAATTAAAAGTTTTTAAATTATAAACTATGTGAAATTATTATCAGTACTGATATTGGTGTGTTTTTTACTTTATTTTGTCAAACTCAATCATAAAAATATTTTCATTCATTTCAATCATATTTACTGAAACATTTAATGACTATAACTCTACTTTTCCATCTTTTTCAGGTTGTATGTTTAATAGTCTTAGCTTTATTTATTTATTTATTATTATTTATTTATTATTAGTAATTTATTTATTACTGTTCTCAAACTTAACATTTTACAATCTACGTGAACGTCACACTGACATATTCATTCGTGTTAATGTCTGACTTTCCATGCAACCTGTTTTCTAATAAACCTTGGGTTTGCAACAGGCGCCGATTACACTGTTGCCACTATGCAAGTAACACATTTGTTTTCGGTTAATATTTAAAATTCTTTAAAAATAAGTTATTGTAGAATTCACAGTGCGTGATTGTTAGTTCGAATAATTGCTAAAATCTTTGTTTTTTAAAAAAACATGGTATGGGCTAGATCATTATTTGGGTAAAATATGCAAATCTAGTAAAAACTTTGGCATACGGCACTCAACATCAACGTCATACGCCTTTTGTTATGTCATATCCCCACCTAACGTGACTAGTAGCGCCGTCGCTATTACGAACGGCTGGGCTCATGCAATTCACTCTCCCCATTTGTGTTATACCACTTACACTACATTTGTGGTATATACTGTGTTAACGCCATCGTCATTCGTCGATTCCATAGATAAGAGGGTTTCGATTCGTCATACGCCTCTTGCTTCTGTTTTTGTACCATTCTTTACAAAGCTGTTTCCAATTTGCAAGGCTTTTATTTCATATTAACTGCTTTCATATACTAGGGGACATGCCAACCAATCTCTTTAATGAAAAATACGTACCGTTTAAAATTTTGATTCCAATTTTGAGATTGTTCTCAAACCATTTATAAAATTCTTAACAGGGATATATAAACACCAGTATAGATACAACAGCCATATGTAACACCTTGTTACTTTATGCTGTGATATTAAAGCTCAAATTCAAGGCATTTTTAACATTAAAATTCTGGCCATTTATCACATTATGATTTACATAATCTACCATCCAAACTCATACCATAAATCTAGTATTTTTATTTTTTCTATAATACATTCCATAATAAAATACTTTCCAGAAAATCTTCCCTCTCAAATCACGGCATTTCGGGGGTGCTGCGTCTGTCGTTCGTAAACTTATTTCTAATTTAAATAAAAGTTTTGCTTTACTTTAAAAAATATACATTCTTTTTTTTTTTTTTTTTTTTTTTTCCGTTATTTTTTTTTTTTTTCTTTTTTTTCGTTCTTCTTTTTGAACCACTTTAAGCTTTTACACTTACCTTCAATGTATATCGTCCAAATACATAACATTTTCTAATATAACAAACCCATAGTAGGTATTTAAAAGAGAATTTCATATTCTTTTATGTTACTTTTATTTTCTAACAGTCAAATTACAAAATGATTTTCAGGAAATTCACCATTTCCATTAGAGTCGATTAACTATTTTGGATATTGAGTTATTCAAGATAATTCCGTATTCTTTTAGTTTAGTCTCAAGATCTCATCACCGGAACCGTCTCAATGAAATTGTCGTTATGCATGGTTTATGAATGGTTCAAACTTGTAGGATAAGTTTCGTGCTACATTTTGTTTAATTATGATTATTGATTTTTTTGACTATTGCGGGATTCTGATGATTTGAAAACAACTCTTTTTCAAAACCGAAACTATTCCCCCATTTTTTAATTTTCCGAGAATTACATTTGTTTTGACAGCGATAATGACATCTTAATGTTTTGATCACAACGAGGTATGTCATGCTGTAGGACGCAAAGTGCCGATTCTATTAGGATCTAGGGGAATGTAAAGTATATTAATATATATTGGAAAACTATTAGATTCTAACATTTCGTTATTAATATTATTTGACCTCGTTTCGAGTGACAATATTTTCATTATACAGTTTGCGGATTAAAGAGAGCTAAGTATCTGTGAATTTTCGGGTGAGTAATATGGTAATAATGGAGAGCTGCTGTTTACCAGAAAACAGTTACAACGAGTTATGGCAGGAAATAGAACGATGCCATTTAAAATACTTGGAGATGGACGAGAGTCCTGAGAAGATTGCAGAGAAATAGGCTAGAGGGTAAGTAAGAGTATTATTTATGGCACCTACAAAATATTTCCAGGTATTTTGTCATAAAACTTTAATAGTTTGGCATAAATAAAATATAAATTTATATAATATCTTGATTTTATTATCACTAGAACAAGTTAAATGTGCAGCGAATTCATTTATTACACAATGTACATACTTAAGATTCTAATCTATTTATTAGTATGTGTAGATAAAGTTTAATTTAGTTATTCAAGGTTTATAAGTTGCCAAAACGGATAAAGCAATAATAGCTGTACTAGGTCTTACAATCCATAAAGTCTATATAATAAAATCGACTTTGTTTGATGAGGAAATATACTTCCTGTTACCTGTTCATTCTCTTTGTCACCATTTTGTATCATATATCCCTATACATATTCCTAACATGTAGGGATATATAATACATTTCTAGGGATATAATATATTGTACTACCTTAAAAAAATATATTGTCTATAATTTTTGATGTCCTATTTTTCCACCTGTTCATTAATCTGCTCTATTTTAATTTCTTCATTAAAAACAATCCTTTGCAACGTTTTGATTCTGTCAGGATAGCGGCAATATGGTGCACTTGAGAAAAGAAGTCTTACAATTTATTGTTCTAATATATAAAATAGGCTAAAATATTTTTGCCAGAGGTTTTAAGATACTGTTTGGCATGTAATTTCCATCATTGGTGTTAAAAAACTTAAAAAATTAGAGAGTGATCGTGATCATTAACTCTTCAAGAAAAATGTATGAGTTCTTAAAACTTAATTAAAGATGATTTACAAAGGTACTACACAGTGGTCAACACACTTTATAGAATGTGCAGGTTATTATTGCTGTTATTAAGTATATTTATTAACAATGGCTTAATCTTTGCCTCTGTTATTTCATTAAACTCTAAAAACCATTAAAGAAAACTATTTTGAAGAAATGAACAACAAATGTAAATGAAAAGGTATTATAGTTCAAAAGGGTAAAAAAGGGCCAACTTTTAAGTTACTATTTGAATTTTTACTTATATTTGATCCTTGACAGGATCTGTACTGTGAGCCTGACCTTAGATTTTTTGTTAGAATGTCTATGAAAGTTGTTTGCCAGAAAACCTTTGCAATTTGCTCATGGTAAAAATTGTGATAAATTTTAGGAAAAAAAATTATGTTACAGAATGCTTTTGATCCTCTTATCCTAAAAGACGTCTTGAAAAGTATCATATGTATGAAAAAACTGATAAAGGTTTTCTTATTTGCAATAAAATTTTGTACCAAACAAAATTGTAGGTTCAATCAAAAAATTATGATTTATCAGCTTTATTGTACTGACACTATATTCCAAATTATTATTAATAACAAAGGTGTGCCTAACTTGAAGGTTCTTTTTAAAATGTGAAGTCTTGCAGAGAGTTTTCTCTATCGGAGGCCGTTTGAGTCTCCTCTTTACTCAGCTTATCATGATGTTTCTATGGGTAATACTTATATATATAATAATAAAAATAAAAAATCATCGCCAATTATCATAATTATTTTTTCTACTTTTAGAATATATTTACGATTTTCTATGTGTCTCTGGGCATTACCACAAAATTCGGCTTCCATGAAACTGCAGAAGTATTAGAGTTTTTTTAGTCACAAGAAGGATTTTAGCGCTTACAAAGCAGTAATGGGATTCAGTGCTATACAACTTTATGCAGGAAATTTACTGGCACAACCTTGGAGGAAGGAATACAAAACAGTTAAGGTACTAGACATAATTGATGAACAATAATTGGTTTTGATCATGCTATTTTTTTTCTATTCTGTGTAGTTTATGTAGTGTCAATTGAATACGAAAATAATTTTGATCTTTTAAATACTAAATTTCGTTAAAGTACAACGCATTTTGCTCTACTATACACAAGGACTTAATGATTTCCTTTGATATTTGGTTGCATTAATAGATATATCAATAGCTTTTTAAAGAGCTGATAGTTGTTAATAATGAGGCGCTAGCTGTCAATGGTAATGTAATACGGATAGGAGTATATGTAAAGGTAGGAAAAGCTATCACCCAATGTAATACTTTTATCGATCATCAAAGGATGCTAACCTTGGCGAGCGGCAGAAGGAATACTGTTACACTAGTCTGTGAGGGCTGGTCGTATTCGTGGATTTATGAGAAGATAAGGGATTTTCGGGATAGGGGTAAGGCACTCCTAGTCTCAGGTCCTGTAAAGAGCAGAGGTATACTGGGTTACTTTGAAGCGGAGATCTGGATAAGGGAATCTTGTATTCTCCTAGTCTCTAAGAGTCGGAGATGGAATTAAAAAAAAAATTTTAGAGTTAAATATTGAATTTATGATTTAACAAACTACAATCGTTTAATAAAGTCTCTGCGGTCGGGAGGAGATATGCAAGTAGTGAAGAGTTGACAGTTGTACTAATTTAATTACTAGGTTAGTCTATTAGAAATCTGTTACTTATGTTGTATTTAGGCTTTCAACACGACACGTTTCGGTTCCTTGGATCGGCAGTTGAGGGTCTCCTCCTGTGTTCCGAACTGTAGAGGTGACAATAAGGACTGACGCGCCAATACCTATGGGGCTGCTTGAGCGCTCCCCGGAGTATTCGCCTGCGTTCGTACCGAGCTGCCGCGTCGAGGTACGGAGCAGGCAATTGATTGCCTTCACGGCTCCCGCCGTTATCACTCCCCTTACTGACTTTATGTACTGCCTATTGGCCTCCTTAGTTCCGTTTTATCAACTGGTGTCTCATTGACCGGTCTGCTGGTCCAAGGTTGCGTTTTTGCTGAATAGAGGTCTATCATGCCTTCAATCAATTTTCTTGTTTGACAGTTTTCTACGTTTTTAAACAATTATCAAACAATGCACTAATCGGTCAAATTGTTATTCTTTGTACTAATTTAATTGGTATAAGTTAACTGTATTCACATTATCCCTTATTTAATTGGAATTTATAATAATTATCTGACTAAATTCTATTTTTCTATGCTACTGTAGCCTTTAATCCAACTCCCACTCATTGCTACGTGCTTACATTACATAGTCAAAGTATATACTCTATGTTCAGGGAAGGATCACAATTGTTTTTGAAATGGTAGACAACATATTGGACTAAATTTTTTAAAATGTACTTCATAAAACCCATTTTTCCTCTCGAATCGCACTTTTACATGTTCATATTTCACTTTCAGATCTTTCTGTGGTTGTTTATAGCATCAAGCTGAAGCAACTTATGTAGGGGAGCAGAGAACTATTTGAAGTATGGGTACAGATAGCTATCGTGGGTACGGATGTTAATTCTCGAAGATCCCATTTCTCCAGACAGAATCACAGCTGTGTCGAGGGATTGCTTAATAGCTTATGTGGAATGTCAGGTATGTCTTTTTAATGTATGATTTTCAGATAATAGGAGATTAAATTACTGATGAAATTGATCAAACTATTATTTTCATTGCTTAATTTTTAACTTCCTTTTCATTATTCCATCTTAAAAATATGACGTTGAACAGATTTTCTAATTACCAACCTATATTTGACGAAATGAAGTTAGTTTATCTTGTCGACTAATAAGAGTTTATTTTAAATGCATATTTAAAAAATCCAGAAACAATTACTTCTGACGCGGATGTTATTGTAAAAGGACTAAAATGAGGAAAACTGTAATACATGTTTATGGTTTCTGATTAGCGCAAAATATAAAGATCAAATCACAAACATTTACGTGGCTAAAGCGAATCGGTTTTAACTGTTTTTTGCTTCAAAAACTTCCACTCTGTATACCAAATGTAAGAATAGGACTTTTGAAGGTTCTCCCAGATAAGAAGGCATTTGTACTTGCTGATGCAGTTTTCTGTGATCTATTCTAAAGCCTTTTGACTGTGTCAATCGCTAAGTACTTCTTAATAAACTGGAAAGATTATGGTTTTAGAGGCACTGCTCTAAAGTGGTTCAGCTTCATGCTTGGGAAGACAGATGCTAGTCTGTTATTAAGCAATTGAGTGCTACTCTAGTAATATCTTTATTAATTTGTGGAGGTACCTCAAAGATCTGTTTTGCGGTCCTTTCTTTTTCTTTGATTATATATTTACGGCATAACTAATCCTCGACACTAATGACCGGTTTACTGATATTTTCCGATGGATCACCACAAATTTTTATGACTAAAACAGTGACTCTAAGGTATTGAACAAGATTATTTAGTAGTGATATTGCTAAAATACTTAGCGTGGTGCCCAAAGCTAATCATTTGGACATTTTACTGTCTCAAAAAAACTAAATTAATTTCTTTTAAGATTGATCTACACAACATTACTCTGGACAATGAAGGCATTTGTTCTGACACCGTAAACAAATTTTTAGGTCTCTATATTGATAATAAACTTAAATTTGAGCAACACACTGTATGTTTAAGCAAAAAGATATCATTGCAGTCAAATCTGTTGCTCATCATTTGCTTAAAGTGTTTATGTGGCCCTGATTGAATCTAATTTGAGATGACGGTATTGCCTTTTGGGGTAGCTGTTCTCTTCATAATTTCAGTTAGAAATTTTAATGCTACAAAGAGAGTACTCAGTTATTTATCCAAGGTCAAGTTTGGTTCATCATGCAGGCCTCTGTTCGGAAACATGGGATCTTAACACTTTCTTGCGTGCATATCCTTGAATTTAGCATGCTTATTTTTTTAAAAAACATAAAGAAGATATTCGTCCAGATTCCTTATAACACTCGTCTAAATTATGTTATTCCACTTCCAATTCCCTCTTCTACAGTAATTAAAAAATTCATTTATTACACTGGTAGAAAGTTTTTAATCATCTACCACTCGATATAAGATCTAAAGCAATACTTTTGATATTCCGAAGAGCAATCAAGAAGTTTTTAATATTTGAATCTTACTATAGTATTCAGGAATTTTTGGAGGACAGTTGCACGAATTGATTTTTTTTTATTTTTAATTTATAATTAGTATTTTAACGTATCTTGTGCCTTGTTTGTACTACACCATGTCGTGTTTTATAAATGTAAACTCATTTTAAAAACAATAAATTTCTCTTTCCCTATTTCAATAAAATTATCAAAATTACTTGTTTTCTCATATTTATAGAGATTTTAATATTTTTAGATTCTAAAGCTAATATGGGAAGAAGTTGGAAAAACGTTCAAAATTTCGTGGTTTGAAGTGGTAGAGTTCCGAAGAACCCACATCTGTAGTCCAGAGAAATGCTCAAATGCACTTAAATGCAGGCATCACCAGCGACAATATCAAGAACACAACAGAAGCCTTTCCCAAGGATCGAATCCGTACGGCTCAGTGCGATGCCAAGCCATACCAGTTCCTGTAGTTTCTCCCTTGATTCCTATGAATAATTCTTTTCCTCCTCCTAACACGCACCACCACGTTGGGCTACCTCCACAACCGGAGTATTTGGCGAATGGATATTGTCCCCGAACTTACCCTGCTTATACTTTACCTTATAATTCTCCTGTTTTAAAACCTTGTATTAACGATTATTACAGTATTCCTGTTCAGCCAAACAATATTTATGCTGTTCCTACGGCTAAGTTAATAGAAGTTGAACCTAATTCTCCATCTGCGTATGACACAGTCGACCACCCTTCCTATAGATCTAGGCATTCAAGAAAATCTAGTGATATTGATTACGACGCTATGAATAATGGTGTTGAAGTGAAAGACTCCCAGCTGGAAGATTGGGATTATGTTTATAAAAACCTTGAAAGTCAAGGATACAACAAAGATTTAGGCGAAAGGGGCGATGTTCTTAGTCCTGTATCAAACAAAAACCTCAAAGAGAACAAAAAAGTAAAACAAACAAATTTGGACGATGCTTTCAATCACTTAAGCGTTCATGATAGACCGTTTAAAAGTAAACGACGCCCCCAAGAAAGCTCCAAAGACTCTCGAAGCTACCAAAACTCTTCCTAGAGAAAAACCTGCGACTGTAGAAAAAGCCATCCAGGCTAGGACTGTTGAAAAGAAACCAAAAGAAAAGAGGACAGAACAGTTAAGAAAAAACCGGTAGTGAAACCCACGACGAACGATTCTCCCAAGGACAGTATTAAATGGACTTGTAAAACTTGTACCTTTTTGAATGAACTAGGGAAGGATATTTGCGAGATGTGCGGAAAGAGTAGGAATCTTAAAGACGAAACTCCCATTGAGGTGGGAGGAGCTGAATGTAGCAAATGTACTTTAGTAAACCCAAAGAATATGAAAGCCTGCCAAGCTTGTGGGACTAGTCTCGTAGGATCGCCAACGTATATATAATCCTATGTAAGAAATTAATATCTGCACAAACTTATTTAACGCTGTCAGTTTTTGATATGTAACTAAGATTAAAATTGTTGTAAAAACTGAGTAAACACAAATGTACACAGTTCTCGGGGTGAACGTTGAGCTTGATTCTAATATATTGTCGCTATATATTTTGTTTAGGCACGAAGGATGTTGTCCGTTCTCAATGGCTTCTCGTAATCTTCAAGCGTCTCGGATGTTTAGGGGCTTAAATCGGCTATAAAGATGGATCGGTGTGTTTAAATCGCCATTAATGCTAATCTGTCGGCGAGAGAAAACTTTGTTTTTGACTGGTTGGGAGAATTAAAGTAAAAATTGTGAAAATTTTAAGAGTAATTTCCACGTTGAAACTATCGTATTTAGGGGATTCTCTAAATGTAGGTCGCTGTTTTGCACCATAATGACTTCGCTTAACATGTGGGAGAAATCTTCATGCTCCCCGTAACCTTCGGGAATAATCTTCAGGACTCTCTTTTGTTTGAATGCTTTAATTCGGTGATTTTAGGTGTGTTAAAGCTAATGGATTGGTTGTCTAGTGTATTGAGTCACAAGAGATGTTTTTCGATCTAAATGGACTTCTTGAAACCTTCAGAAATCTTGTGTTTAGAGGCTTTAATCTGCTGATTCTAAGAGAGTAGGTCACTATGTTTGAATGCCCATTAATACGAGACTGACAGCGGTACAGGAATTTGATTTGAATTGTTTGGAAAAATAGCGAGATAAGATAAGATTTCTGTATGTATTTTATCTGGTCCTATGGCCTTCTCATTTTTTACACGTTTTAGCGCTTTCTCAATTTCGTGTTTGGTGATTGATGGCCCAACTCTCATGTTTAGTGACTTTAATTTGCTGATTCTAAGGGTTGGTCAATATCAATATGATTGCGTGACCATTGCGTGAAAACTATTGTTGAGACACGCGGTGTGTTTTGCGATCTCAATAGCTTCTCGTAATATTTGAGAGTTTTTTCTGGACTTTCTCATGTTTCTCTTAACCTTCGGGAGTAATATTCAAGACTCTTATATTTAGGTGGTGATACGTGTGGGTTGCTGTGTTTAAGACGGTTGTAGATGATTTTGCTTTGAATAATTTGAAAACATCACCAGATGTCTTTGTGGTAATTTAATTTCCATGTTAATGCTAATCTATTACTCACTATGTTGAGTTTTATTGAGACACTCGGGATGTTTCTCAATCTCAGTGGATGCTTGTATGATAGTTCGTTTAAAAAGACTTACGGTCAAGATCCAGTACTAAAAAAGACTGCAAAGAGCGAGTTAAAAGCTCAAAGTAGCCAAAATCAACGCGGTTAAAACCGGGAACTGAGTAAATTTGATATGAGTTATTGTAATAATATTGGACTTCTTTTTGAAGTTCTATTTTACTGACCGCGGAAGCCTTTTCGAATATTTATATTATATTGGATATCTCTAATTATACAATTTGGGTTTTTTTACCTCTGCACATTCTAATTTCCTAATTCTTTAATTGCCAAAAGTTATTTGTATTATAGTTTAACTTTATTATGTAATACGACAATTGGGAGGTATTGGGAGCAGTTTTAGATCTAGAAATTATCTTGTTTCTTCATAAAGATTAGTCGTATAAGAGTTTTTTAACCTAGGACTGCCGCATCAGTATATGGGGTTTCTCCGAAAAATATTCGGCAATTTCTGCAGCTTCAATTCGCTTTTGCTACATTCGGTAACTAAACAGCCGGCTCGGCACAAAACCGGATCGCTAATAATAAAAGCTGTAAGGGGTTTTGAATTGGAAATCGATTTAATTACTATTTAAGTGGGAATAAGTCACAATTAAAGATAAAAATACGTTTATTGACGTTTCAATTTCAAATAAACGTATTTTAATTTTTTAATTGTGGCTTATTCCCACTTAAATAGTAATTAATTTACAATGCCACAAGAAAATAGCTTCAGAACAATATTAGGGAATCGATTTGTACAACTGTATCTTTTTTTTAAACGATAGTAGATGCAGTAAAATATTACTACAGTTCTGGTTAAACACTCTGATTTTTCAAAAATTAACTGGATATTACAAAAAAAGAAAAAAATTAATTGATCAATCAGGAATTGATATGACAGAGGAATAGGCTCCTCTCTCTTTATTCATTACATTTGTCAATGATCATATTTGGGGATACTTTTTTTATAATTTAAGGGAGCCTCAGTGAAGTAAATAGTGTTTTTGTTTGAATAATATTTGTCATTTTGAAACAAACAACAATTTTTGTATTTAGAAACGAGTAATAAAAACTCTTGAATTTTGCTATAATTAGAAATCATTTTGATTGTATAATTTTATTGTTTTAGTAAAACAAGAATAAATAAGTGTGAGCGTTATAATGCTTCCGGAGAGGTGAACTACATCTTCATTGTTATATTTTGTTTACCAAGCGTTACAAATTCTACATCGGGGGTATGTTTATTATTATATATTATTTTTTACCTTTCCGCGGTTGTTTTTAGTATATTATTTATTTATTTTAGAAATAAACTATGTAAGTAATGCTGTGTTTTAATTTAACCCTTTAAATTTGAATTGCCTTTTTGACATTACAAATAAACGGTAAGGTTTTTCTTTAACTTCGTGGTATAAGCACTGAACGTGATACTACCATAAATATATCTCTATACTTTTATACGAGAGGGAGAGAGACGGAGGATTAAATAAAGAAAGTACCCAAGTAGACTAGCCACCCTTGCCACAGGACCTTGGACCCGAGAATAGTGACGTAGTGAAATGTTGCATGCATTTATACCTAACCATAGACTAGACATAATACTGATTTCAAAAAAAAACTTAACGAAAAAAAGTTTCATAAAATTTTACAACTATAAAATAGATCACAAAACACAATCAAATGGAACTGCACACGGTAAGACTTATCATCAGATGGATCATTATAAGAAATAACATCAAGCATTACCAGACAACCCAATATCAAACAGTGCATGCTCAAGCCACAAATGTTGTAGAAGACTGGACAGGACAGCTATACATTGTCCACCACAACATTCAGTTAAACAATCAGAATTTAAAACCTTGTTTGATACACTTGGACCTAGGTTTATTTGTGGCGGAGACTACAATTCAAATGCGAGGTGGAACACGCTATAAATAATGCTAAATTAGAAAAGCTTGTGGTCCAGATGATACACCAACTGAGTTGCTGAAACTAATAGAGAATTATAACATAAAAGTAGTAGTAAGACTTTTTAATTCAATATATAACACCGGAGTAATTCCCGCAGATTGGCTCAAATCCATATTTGTCGCAATACCTAAAAACACAATGCGAGAAAATGCTCAATATATCGATTAATTAGTCTAATGAGCCACACTCTAAAATTTTTCCTCAGAATACTTCAAAACAGAATTAGACGCAAATGCGAAGAAGATCTTGAAGACACAAAATTTGATTTTAGAAATGCTATGGGAACCAGGGAGGCACTTTTTGCGCTTAATATCCTATTACAAAAATGCCGTGACCAAAGAAAAGATGTATTTGCATGTTTCGTGGACTTCAAAAAAGCATTCGATAAAGTACAGCATGTAAAATTAATGCAAATACTGAAAAATAGCGTAATAGATGACAAAGGATATTCGTGATATTAAAAAATTGTACTGGAGTTAAACTGCTATAAAATAAAAATTTAAGAAACATTTAAAAAGAATGAGGTCTTATTTCAAAGAATGTTAACTTCTAACAAAATTCTTCCTAAAAAAAATTTAAAAAATAGTAAAATACACAAAATGCATTTATTAAGAAGTAGGAGAATTGTTGACATAAGAAAAACAACAGAAACATGAAAAAGTTCTTCCGATAGGTTGCTAAACAGAGATAAAGAAGAAATAGACAGTGGGGGAGAACAAATAGAAATAATAGAAATACCCACCAAAAAAAAAAGGCAGACGAAAAATAACAATTTGTAATAGTTTATTTGTATAAAACTACATATTTATAGATTCCATTAATCTTTTAACTTCTGCGTATCTTTTCTCATACCTAGCATCTGATTCTCTAAATCTTTTCTCGATTTTATCCTTAGCATCTTCTATTTCTGCTTTCACATGCTTACGAAACGACTCAATACACTTATTATTTTTTATTTCCTGTTCCTCTAATAATATTTTTGTATTGTGGTTATCTTGGAGCAACTTCTTCTCTTTCGATGTATATTCCTCCATAATTTTTTGAAGATCTGCTTTTGCTTTCTCTTTCATATTTAATAAATTTTTTTGATTGTCAGACTGAAGATCCGTCATTTGGTTTTTGTACAAATTAATATTATCTACGTGATCTTCGGTAATTTGTTGCAGTTTTTGATTCTTATTTGCAATTTCCAATTTCGTCTCATGTAGTTCTTTTTGTGAACTCAGCAGAGATTCATTTAGTTGTTCTTTTTCTTTAAGAAGGCTCTCTTTTTGACGTTTTTCACTATCTGTGTCTGCTTGTGTTGTTTGAATGAACTTCAGCAGTTCTTCTTTAGTCATTGAATTCGCCGAAAACTGTTTCCTTTTTAATTTTTTCATATTCAACTTCGCGAGTCACAAAAATTATTTTTGTCACAAAATGACGTTATAAACTGACATGTAGTTATTTCATTTTTAATAATCTAATTTTCTAAAAAGTTTGAGGGTGTATTTGAATTAAAATAAGTTGTACATTATGTGGATGGACCATAAAAAATAAAGTACAAATAAATATTATGGACTGTCTTAATTTGATCAGATATTCCTTTACAAAACTATATTCTTTTATCAAAATCGTGAGGATTGAGCTGTTCGTAGAAAGTATCTGTATTTATATGCACGAAAGTTGTGTTTTTAGTTGTTGTAACCAAGGAGCAGAAAACAAATAGACTCTAAATTAGCGTTTGGCACTCTATTATTAAATTGTAAAATGCAAAACTGACTACGATCTAAGCCTCTACAAGGAACCAAGCTAA